AAACAAAATCAGTTTACAACGGTACGGTCAATTCATTTGCATCAAAGCGGCTTAGAGTTTGTTTTATTCTTCTTTGTTTGCCGTTCGCGTCTCAAGTACTTCTCTGCTTAAGTTCTCTGTTGCAACACACCTTTATCATATTTGAAAACATTTTGCTAGTTTACTCTGAGAAAATTTAAGATGAAACAAGGCTTACTTTACTTACTTCATCTTCATCCCTACTTGAACGTCACAATAGACAGTTTTAGTTTTCCTTTAGAGGTGGCTTTTGTTTTCTTCCATGGATAGGTTCAAAAAGGTAAGGACAACTGTGTGGTTCACAAACAGCTTCACGCTTTGGAAACTTGAATGACGCCTTAGAGATAATATTGCCACATGCTGAGATTTATATTCATAACGTCAGCAGAAGGAAATTTTTAAGATACTAATTCAAGGAGAGAGTTTGTTGAAACTCTGTGTAAAGAAAAATGTTACTTTGCTATTTATGGCTAAGGTAATCTTAGGAAAATTTTTAGATTATGGATCGGAAATAAATGTATACGATGAATTTCCTCAAATATGAGTTTTCCCAATGTCCACGCAGGTGAACTGTATCTTAATAGCAATCTCAACCCAATTCTTGTTGCATATTCAGTAAACGTCGAGTTGACGTTTTCAAACTATTACTGCTGTACAATAGAACAAAAGTGATACTCAAGGAGAATTTATCATCAAAATTTAAACAGATGAGATCTGCGTGTGAAACATATTCACTTTCAAAGATAAATTCCTCGTTGTGGAGAGAGTTTGTAGAAACTCTGTGTAAAAGATAAATGTTACTTTGCATTTTATGGCTTAGGAAACCTTAGGGAAATCTTTAGATTATGGATCAAAAATAAATGTATACGATGAACTTCGTCAAATATGGGTTTTTCTAATGTCCACGCTGGTGAACTGTATCCTAATAACAATCTCAACCCAATTCTTGTTACATATTCAATAAAAGTCGAGTTGACGTTTTCAAACTATTATTGCTGTACAATGGAACAAAAGTGATACACAAAGAGAATTTATCATCAAAATTTAAACAGATGAGATCTGGGTGTGAAACATATCCACTTTCGAAGATAAATTCCTCGTTGTGGAGTTGAGATCCATCCGATTCTTGGAAGCCATCAGTGGCTGGGACTTGCCCAAAGGTTCCTTCAAGAATAGAATAAACGCCTTACGAAACCTGTGGAAAAAAGGACGTGTTTACTTCTTACTTAGATTTAACAGAAAGTTCTAAAAATATATGCGGTGAAACAAACTTGATTTGTGGATTCAGTCATTCAAGCCTCTACTAAATTGATATTTGATGTGGCCTCCAACGATTAAAAAGAAATGACAACATCCTATTGGTATTGTAAAATGAGAGATCAAGAGAAAAAGTCATTGTCAAAGTGTTGTTACTCTCTTTTTTTTGTAGTCCAAATGAAATGGAAACAAGAACAATCACAACATGAATACTTACCGAGGAGTCTTCAGAGAGTAAATGATCGGATTTGCCATACTGTTCAGATGATTGAGAAAGAAGGCAAGGAAATGAGGCCATGAGCCATGAACTTTAGATATGTTGTGTAGCAACATCGGTAATACACCCATGCAGAAAAAAGCAACCACAGTCAAGCCGATCGTCTTTGCTGTCTTCACGTCATTTTTGGTCTGTTTTCCCGTAGAAGAGTAGGCCGAAATACGTCTGCTATGGTTATGCAGGGTGCGCCAAATCGCCACTCCCATAACTACCATGATCATGAAAGGCACAACATACCCTGGAATGATAAAATGCCTTCCAAATTTCTTTAAATAATGCATTCTGTACTGAAGCACTGGGGCATCACCAAGGTCAATGTCCAGTCCCAAAGTGAACATTCCATACGTATAGGCAGCGGCAAAAGTCCACACAAAAAACACTGCTGCTTTCGCCTTGTTGATTGTCTTCCACGAGTGATAATGAATCCCGTGGACAATGGCTCCGAAGCGGTCCATTGTAAGCACCGTCAGATTAAATACGGTGAGGTGCATGAAAAGTACGTACCATGTCACTATGAACCAGGAGATTGCAAGTCCTTTCAAATACGGAACTTGGTATATGTACCACATGATCATCAGTGGCATGTTGGTCACTGCGTTTAAAATGTCAATGACAGCCAAGTTTACAATAAGGATATTGGGAACTGTTCGCAAAGTCTTGAACCTGACAAGAAGAAAGCAAATGATGCTGTTCCCAACAATAGAACCAATCATAACGATGGCAATCATCGAAACGTGTAAGATTTTTTGCGAGTCGTAACTGAAACTCTTTCGCGCTGTCTCATTCATGGCTCATTTGCATCCGCCCAAGACAGCTCAAATACATGTATAGCCTTTCCGGCCGGATGAAAGAAGATGCCAGCATTTACGTCAATGCTCGTGGCTTTGAATGCTGAAAAAGATAACGCAAGATTTATGAGCTCTTTAATTACCAGTGTCAGTCTACGTCTTTTAGGGTAATTTCCCTGCGAAGTATGGATGATTAAGAACGAAAAAATAACAGTAATCACTTTTCATTGAATCATATTGGATGTAGAAGTTGCCCAAATTCCCAGTAGATGCTTCATCTTACAAAACATAGGAAGTAATTTCGAACTGAATGATTCTGAAAAGAAAAAACGCAAACCCGTATTTACATTTCCTACAAATCTATTAACGTTTTTCATAAAATGTACCCTAATCTAAACTTATCGCTTTCCGCCAACAATTTCCTTCTTCGATGACGTGATACTAAACTTATGAGCCATTTACACCGTAGAGATAATTCTGATGAACGACGAACGAAAACTTGTTAACGCTTTGTGAACGAAGCCCAACAAAAACGTTACACTAAAACGTACGTTTTCTAGTACCTACTTGACGAAAGTTCAACTGCGAATAAAAGCCACCTGAATTTATCTATCTTTCAAAGCGTTTGGGACAATAACGAATACTCTTTATACCATGTCCAATTAATATTCACGACTCCCATTCATAAAGGTTACCTTTAAAATCCAACTGCATGTGGAGATACAAATTCAACAATGAAAAAGGGAGGTGATGTAAACTGCATTTGAAATGTTTTGAGATAGCTCTGCGAAATTATATTGCACATGCAAATGAAACGTGGAAATGACCCGAGGAAATCATTTTGAAGTTGCATGTGTCAACTTGATTGATAGGATTTTTATTGTATTTATAGAAACTTTAGCGAACTCGAATTTGCAGCTGCTAACTTGACAGCTGAAATTTGGGAATTCTAAAGTGCGTTTCCCTTTTGCGATGAGATTGTTTAAACATGCCTCCTGAACGCAGACCATCTTGGTAAATCAAAAGCGATAACAAAGGATATGACCCAAAACCATAACTAGGATAAAATGACGAGATGAAATATATTATGAACGGCAATAATTACTAAGTAAACGTGCT